ATACTCTCTGATTTCATTCAGAGGATGTGATAATGCTCACTGATTCTATCATGATCTACATCATGGGAATACCGTAGGAGTGTGAGCGACCATTCATTTTTCTAAAATATTGTTCTAAAATTGTTCTTACCCATCATTCGATTGCCCCCTTATGAGCAACACTCAGAAGTCTTCGAGAGACTTGTGCACGCAATGAATGACAGGTGTCTTACCTTTTAACGAGTGATCCCAAACACTTTCTTAGGCCATCAGAAAAAATTTCTGCGGTCGTGGTGGGAATCGAACCCAGCTACCGGCAATCTAACGTGGATATAATATTGACGCTTCAACCACGAGGCTACGCTGGCCACATCTTTCTACAGAAACCTCTGTTAGCTAGGCTGGTATTTCATTTGTCTTCTTCCTCCGGAAAACTCGAACAACTCTGTATATAGAGTTTTTTGCTGAAGAAACTATTCCCAAGAACTGATTACCAGCAAAAGTTCAAAATAACACAATACCTACACCTACCTCCTTTCTTCATAATAGAACATAATAAACATAACATAAACGTTATCAGTTTCAATTTCTTCAAGAGACTTAACCATCCCAGATGTAATATGAGTTATACAATAACATTAATCTTGAATATCCATTCGACAGGATCTGAGAGCCCACGTAAGTATTCGAAATCGCAGTAATGCCTGGGAAAATTCGATGTCCATTACATAGGTACAGGAAAGATGGACGTCGACATTTATCTAGGACACTTTGGTAAACTAGCGCTCAGGAACATGCACCATTGGTGATAAATTTGTTCTCCGCAAAAGGAAAGTATGGAATTTGTTCACATACGCAGGAAATATTTCGCTCACCGATTCGATGAGAAATTGCGAAACCGGAAACAGTTTCCAACCCGATTATTTCATTAGGTAAGTTTCAGGTGGAAAATGAATTTCAGAACTCGAGTATAGGAGATGCATTTTAGCCTAGATACGTCTGAACTGACCGGAAGATATAGTGACAGATCTTCAGACGTGATTTGACTCAGGATGCCTTTATTATGTTTGTATTTTGGTGTTAATAAAATGATATATGAAAAAATCCTACCGGGTTCTTCATGCATTAAAGCATGTTTTCAGGATATAGGTATACTTGGACATGCGCAAACAGTATGCCATTTTTAAAAAGAAAATTGCGCGAGAAATAGGTTTCATGTAAAGGCTTGGTAATAAAGTATCTCATTTCACGAAATTAACAATTTACAAGTCAATAACTACACCTCATATTGATTATTGTGGTACTGAGTTTCTTGAGTAACTAACAGGTTAATACACTGCGAAAAATCCAAAATCGTACAATAAGAGAGATATTGGGTTGTGAAAGACGCACATCACAGTCACAACAATACTAAACACAATGCAATTAATGAATATCAAACGAAGAGTTTAATACTCATTTTTGTTTATAAATTGAAAAATAACATGTTGCCTATGGTATTTATCAAGTGGGCTGAATTATGTTCAAGATGTACATTGTCACAATACCAGAAGACAAGAAACAAATGATTTCTATATAAATTTTGGAAATATTGTCTGTGATACTTTATATACGGAAGGTCTGGAATTGTTCAATAATTTGCCCTGTGAAATGATAAGATGTGTGTCACTAGATAGTTTTGAAGAATCGTATGTGTTATTTGTGAAAGCAAATTATTGATTGATCAATTTAGAAAGGAGGAATATATGAATTACCCTTATCTTAAAATACACAGTAAAAAACCGCTTCGAGTGAAATCCGTAGAGTATGTTTTTAGAGTTAAAATACTCTGACAAACTCACTCTAATACTGCAATCAACTCTATTACTACACTTCTCGCAGATTATCTCCTTTGAAACTAATTCTTGATTGAATTTTCACTATTCTTGTATTGAATTCACTCTATATTCCTGAAATTTCAATAAAATATCAATTCAGATAACTCAATTCACTAACAATTGAAATTGAATTCTTACTAGTGTTCACTGACACTAGTGAAATTGAATATTCCTCTCTTGTCGCAGTTTCAGATCGTTCAGTCCACTAGATAGTGAAATAAGTAATACAGATTATAGTGTCGATGATATAATGAACATAATAGCTTCAAGTAGCTTTTTTACTATACCCGAGTAGTGAGAAATTTTCAACATTGAGTTATGAACATATTTCCGTATACCTATATCTCAGTTATTTTCCGTTTTTTTCCGTTTCGAATTGTTATTTCGAAAGATTTATGAAACAGATATAGGTTAACTAATTAGTCTAGTGGGAATCGAGTCATTTTTCAAATATCAAACGATTAAAATATTATAAAGTCACACTACTTCTCATCCGCCAATTCGCGCCACTGCATACAGGTGGCGCTGCAGAGACTATGCCGAAATTTCGCCGCTGAATGTCTGTCGGAGTCCTATAAATACTGTGACATGTGAAAGAATGGTTAATTTAACTTGGATGGAATATCAACAGGAAGTAGTGACTAGTTTACTCAACTAGTGTTCTATATCAAATCTGAAATGATGAATGAATGATAACTCCCTATTAGCACCTGAACAAATAGTAGTGTCAATTTGAACAATGCAGGAGCAATTTGACATCCACGTAGAGTAAAAATTTCAATCCATTCCCGGTGGATCCGACACTGTTTATAGTGTGGAATCTACTCTCTACTATTATATTACAACTCTGAACTTTTGTGCCTATGTAATATTCGGTTATTGAATTTCACTCTAAAGTGATGATATTGACACTAGCTTGGGCCTTGAATGGAATATTCACTCTCGAAATTGATTCTTTCAACTCTATTTTTGTGTTTATTCAATATATTTAGAGAAATAAATAGAGTAAGTTTCAATGTGCTTGCATTGAAAATTTACACTAATTGAATTGAAAAAATCACACTATAATATACTAAACTATAGAGTTAAATCATTCACTCTAAAGCTTAGTGGTCCTCCTGGGAACAGGTATAGTGTTAAATGTCACTCTATTTTTTTTACTGTGTATGTGACGTAATTCATGTGTCGGTGTCTGAGTTCTATATTTCTATTTCTTTATTTATTGACCTATTGTATTTTATTGTAGATTCAACTGTAATGAAGAGCACCGTGCTACTAAAGTTTGATATTATATCGACGGTCATCTCACGTAGTGACGTATCTCACTTTTCTAAATTTCGCAGGAAAGCAATTTGAAGATGTTCAACATCTTAATTTGCTCGAAACTCAAAGGTTTGTTCATGAAAGGTCGTTGTTTTTTATTAATTAGTGAAAGAGCTAGAACTAGTTGTTACGATATGGTGAGATTGCGCAAAACACCGTCAAAAACGGGGATAATTAATATGTTCGTGATATACGTCACTACGTGGGATCATGTTTGTCAATGTGGCCTTAGATACGTCCATGAATATAAAGAGAATTCAAATGAATATCAGATTCAAATATTCGATTTTATTCATAAAGAACACAGAAATTCATTCCACTTGTACAATACCTTACAATACCCCTTTCAGTACGTTGAGACGCCACCCGAGATATTTTGAATCCCGCGGCAAACCGGATTATGAGATACGTCACTGTTGAAATTTTTAACAAATATTAAAAACTTACTCACATGCTGCCGTAACTCCTATAGTTAGGTAACTTCATGAGATTTGGTGGTCCCATAATTTGAGATAGGCTGAGTATTCGATATTTAATTACACGAACACCATTTAATATTGAGTCATACGCCACGTTGTGTGATCATAGAGTACAAGAACATAAGTCATTTGACGCAGTATCTCAAATCCCAATTTTTATGAGATGCGTCATTTTTTTCAAATGCAACAACACCTGACCGTGATACCTTTTGGGCTCACGCAAACGGTAAAGTATGCCTTTGTATTTTCAATTATATGCATTTTGAAAGTTATAAAAAATATCAGATTTTAAGCTCCAAGTATTTCACTTCTACAGGTTGAAGTAATCGTAAAGAGAAGTGAATTCACCAAAATTGTTCATCAAAAAGTTTATAAATTGAAGAGATAAGAATAATATTAGATTTTGAGCTCCAAGTCAATAAAAATTATATGTTATTAGTGAAATACATTACCCTGTTACAAAAAAATTTACAAAATTGTCAATGAATATGGTGTTGGGAATTAAGGATGACTGCGAATGAGGCAGAAACATAAAGTTTCGAAGTTCTCGAGATACTGCGGGTGCAGAAGTTGAGAGATATTTTGGTTTTTTATATTCAAATTCGGCATGGTTTCTTGTTCCGATAGGTGAATTTTTTCCATGTCATATCTACATAAAATCATTGAATTTGCAGTCTTATGTCTCAAACATTTCCTGATAATGGTCAAAACTGACTCAAAATGCAATCAAAACCTTATGTGTAGTACATCGTTGAATTCGGGATAAAAAGTGCTTCTCAAACTTGACATTATGAAATCAGGACCGTATTTGAAAAAATGAAGTTGATGATGATTGCGCGAAAACGAAACGTTTGATTGCGAAATTGATGATGTCATATTGGAATTCATTAAAAGTTGCTGTGAAGATGTTGCAACAGATTTGTTCCAAACTGACTAATAACGTCAGAAAAAAATAATATCGAAAACCCAAAAAATCAGTTATTTCAAAATTACTCAAAAACGAAGAGTCGCATCTCGGATTTATTGATATCACATTGTCGTCTTTTGATTCCACAACTTTTTTCCCATTTAACCAAAACCGTATCTCTTATAGTTTAGAATATACTGGTCCTCCTTATCTTGGACACAGTGTATAATATTTATTATGTGTGACAATATCTTGGAAAAGCGTTTTTCCGTTGACCAACAAATCCACAAAACCCATCGTCCACCCAAAACCGCTTTTCGTTTCGAACCTGAAACCGAAAAACCCACGATGCACCTACCATCCGCGACCGCCCCCAAGAAGGCGTGTTTCGCGTCGCGACGCTGTCTATAAAACGGCGTCGTGGTCCCGATGCCGCTCTCACAGTCAACCGCCCCAACGCACTTTGCAGCCTCCGCCACAGCCGCCTCCAGCTGCTCTTCGACGAGAATAACGTCCAGGTGAGTGCAGTGTTTTTTTGCTCAATCCAATCAATCCAGACATTTTAAACGACTCGTGGTTTTCGAAGTGGGTCAGTGCCGGATTTATACTCCCTTACGCCGGGGGCTAACTTTCACGAAGCCGCCGCGCCGCCGCCAAATATTTAATTTTCAATTGTCAGTTTCAAAATTCAAATAATCCTTTCACTGCTTTTTTTACAGTATATAACAATAACATGAAATCATTATGTACAACGAATCAAATTATATTTTCTACAGACGTTAAACATAACAACAAACAACACATATTTTTTTCAGATGAATACTACTTAGGTACAATAATTTTCTTGATGCAAAGTCGTCAATGGCATCAAAATTCAGATTTGATAACATCTCACTGTTAATACTTAAAATTGATAAGATATTAAACATATCCTCTACCATGGAATTCCTAAGGTAGTTTTTCACTCTGTTTAGAATGACATTTCACCACTGGCATTACGAATCATCAGGGATAGTACAAAAATTCTCAGTAATTGCCAATATTCAATGAAATTGTTGTTATTATCCCTAAAACAACGCTTAGTCGTGTTATATTCTGATCATCTATTTTTGAGATTCTAACTCTTCTTTTTCGCGTATTGAATTTAAAAATATATGAAACTTACCATTCCTGTCTTGAGATCGTTCCCGGAGACGGTTCTATCGGTTCTGATACTGTCTCATTTGAATTTATAAAAAATGAATGTATTTCAGGGCTTTTCTTGACAAATTCGTCTAACTAATTCTGTTTATTAATCTTCTGCCGTTTCCAGAATGCACCACCTTTTTTACTCATTTTTTTAAATTCAAGTTTCAATATTTATTTATTATTTGTACCATTACCAATAATACCAAGGACAACCACTCTGATTTTGTTTTTTTGTTATTGAGTTAGACGAGTAAAATGCGGTTTTTCTTCTCATCATCAAATAAAAGTATGTACCGCCGCCGCTTTTGTATTGTAGCGTCCAAGACCGTTACCATCGAGATTATCGTTGGTAACGCCAAGACACAGCTGACGCTAGATTAGTGCATGTTATGATTTTCACAAAAACAGTATCTCAACCAGTCGAAGACTGAATTGCTGCTTGCTTTTCCTCTTTTCTCTTTATCTCTACCGCCTCTTCACCAGCGGCTTTTACTACCAAAAATAGAAAGAAAACTTCCAATGAACTTAAGTCGAGAGATATATCTCCTAAGGGAGCTACGGCCCCATGAAAGGGGGCTCCTAAAGATGATATTTCTCAAGTATTTCCGAAACTCCATATAATAAAAAGATGCAATTTGGTAAAAGAACTGAAATTTCCATGCCGAATGCAGTGAAGATGAAATAATTTCAAAATTCTGATCAGGAGTGTATAATACAGGGTGGGACTACATTAAATATTGCTCAAAATTTTTTGTATGCATATTTTTCGACAATTTAATCTCGGATTATGAAATTTCACACTTCTTCACAGAAAAGATGTACTCTTGTTCCGTGACGATCAGATGTATTATTATCGAGTAAAAGCAATTTAAAACTATTGCTACATCTCAGATGTTATGCCTAACATTGCAATGAGGCGTAGTGAAAATGAAAAAAATGCACAAAAATTGAAGTAGTAGTGACATTACCATTTTTCCATTTTCCGCGCTTTTATCAGATTGTTTGGTGAATAGAAAGTACTTGATTTTTTTATAGCTACTATGATTTGAAAATTGGCAACTTTATGCTTAAGATGTGAGTGCATCAATATTTTTAAATCGATTTCACTCGAAGATGATACATCTGATCGATGCGGAACAAGAGCACTTCTTTGTGAAATGGTGTGGATTTTCATAATCCGAGATTAAATTGTCAAAAAATGAGCATACGAAAAAGTTTGAGCAATATTTATTGTAGTCCCACCCAGTATTATACACTCCTGAATGAAACTTTGAAATTATTTCATGTTCACCGCATTGGACATGGAAAGTCCAGTTCTTGTACTGAATTGCATCATTTCATCACGTGGCGTTTCGGTAATATTCAAGAAATATCATCTTCAGGAGTCCCCTTTCAGGAAGCCATAGCTTCCTTAGGAGACATTTCTCGACTCATGTTCATTGGAACTTTTCTTTCTATTTTTGGTCGAAGAAGCCACTGGTGAAGTTTGGCAGGTTAATTTCGGGACACCCTGTCTACACATTCAAATAAAAAAAAAACTTTTTGGCATTGCGAGTAATGAATTCTCAAGTTTACTTCAAACCAAGAAAAAATACTTGAGTTTGATTCGGTAAGACATCAATTTGATGAATACGTTAATTGCATTATTGTAGATGGTTTTTTCGATTTCTCCACTCGAAGACTCTCCAAGTTGCGACATTTTCACAGATTGATGCTTTTCTGAGAACGCAAGTTTGAGAAAAATTGACACAAACGCCATCAAATATTTGTTTACAATTTACTTCGTCACGTTTTCAAATGTTTGATTCCGTTTTGTTGCTGGAAAAGTTAGGGCAAACTTTTTTTCGCTGTCATTATTACAAAACCACAGCGGCTCATGAGATTTTTTCATACATGTATTTCAAAGATGTTTGATGTGTGCCTTCTCTCAGTGATGTCAATTCAATATTCTTAATTCACATGATTATACTGTAATTTTGAAGAAGGTATTATTGCTTCCGTTTTAAGATCTTCTCAATTTGAAATTGAATTCAATTATCATTGTGTTTATTATTTTTCTGAATTCATCCAGCCACAATTCGATTGAACCAACACAAACAATCTATTTGGGAATTTTGGGATGCACATTTCACGTTGGAAAACAACAACTGTGATTGGAATTGTCGACATTGATGTCGACAATAGTGATTTTTACACCACGGTAGTGAATAATATCATTGATACCCATGGCCCAAGATCATATATCGAGGCTTCAGCTGAGGGCGATAAAGTCACTAGCAATATCTTTCAATCATTATTGTTCTGTGAAACTGAAATATGGACCTATTGTCACTATGGAAGCACTTATTTCCAATTCTGATATAAATCTAGTAACCAGGTCCATGACAGCATAATGACAAGTTATTATTGATTTGGGTTACTTTTAACAGAGATGGCTATGTATTTATTGAGTCGTTCATGAAATGACATGAACTACCTTAGTAGAAAAAACATGCTTTTCGGCTAGGAAAGGAGTAAATACCCATATAGCACGAGTACGTCCCAAAAACGTACTGAGAACATCCTGCCAAGACGTTTCGTACGTACTGGGGACGTCCAGATTCCTCGCGTTTGTACATCCTCAGTACGTCCATGGATACATGAATCAACGTAGATCCGCCTCTTTTCACTCAGATAGTCAAAAAAGAGATTTAGATAAACTAGAAAGTCTTATTTTGAATGAAAAAAATTAAAAAAAAACGCTTCTACCGGGGATCGATCCCACGACCTTTAGACCACGAGACAGATGTATCAAAATCTTTATTCATCATCTGAGTTTATCACAATACAACACATATTTGTACATCATCAACGAGGCAGATGCTCAACCTATTATTCTGAAGAACACTTGTTGATTAACAGTATACAACAAGCAATATTATGTGTTATGTGAGAATGCCGATTGACTCATCACATTGATACTTTTATAGAATTAGATAATCACGGCAGAGAATACCTAAATAGATGTTTTGTGATCTCTGGTGGGGCCAGTAAATAATGAATTTCAGACCAAAATGGGACCTAAACCGGATGTCCCCAGGACGTCGAGTGCTATATGGGTAATGGTAGGTTTCCTATAGAAAAAAGATGCTGACAATATAAGAATGCAACTCTGTCCCTATATATTAACTTCCGTATTTGATACCTATCAGCAACAGAGTCATCAGCACTAACTACCCAATCGAAAAATGATTAATCTATTAATTCATTGATTTTGAATATGTTCGTTATGAAATTGAATATTCAACATGAATTCGTAACCAGTTTGAGAATGTTTATTGACATATTTATTCTGCGAACTTCAGTTTTCATATTAGATATTCTCAACTCGATCATTGTCTTATATTGAAATCCATCATCAATTTGTGTGTTTGAATCCACATATTGATGGTTGTTACTACCAATCTACGTCTTGTTGAAATCGCATGCCATTCAAAGTATGTTTCAATCGGATTGAAAGTGGCAGCCATATACAGTATGTCCCGTTAGTATCAATGTGATTTTTCAAAAATCTTGGTGGTGATTGTATGTTGCGAAAAAAGTATTTGACATATTGAACCGTCTAATTTACCATTGGCGTGCAGTGTTGGAGGGTGAGAACGGCTCGAATTTTAGGGAAAAGGGTGTTTGCGTTGATTTTATAGATCACTTTTCTTACCAGAATTAGAAACATAATCCCCAAAAGTCCCTTAATTCATTTTTCAAAATCTCCAGAGCTGATTTGAACAGATTGTTTTTGTAATAGGCTGTTCATTTCGAACTTTTAAGTTTCAATGCCATAATCCAATTGCATTCCGTACACTTCAATACCGTTTGTGAAATAATTCAATTCCTTATATTGTTACTCTACTTATAAATGAAGAATTTATTGAAAAATATCCCTAAAATATGTTTTCTGCTGAAATCTGATTTCCGACTTTAGAAAATGTAAATTCAGAGGTTTTCAAAGATGCTGATTCACAATCTGATGAAAAAAGTAATGTGGAATGATCCCTAATATCCTTCTCCTTAAAATTTCATCTTTTTCTACCCCCCTGCACTGGACACCCATGATGAATGAAAAGTTCGAATAAAATATGCAGTGAACAAAAGTTTGCACAACTCTAGTATCTGCATTATTTTGCTGCGAAAAATAATTTCAAATTTATTTCTTGCCCTAACCCTCATCATGAAAGACGTACTTTACTCGTAGGTTTTTTCATAAAACCTTGCAAACTGGTCATTCAAAATTTTCAGAATTTTTCTCCACTATACTCATGTGCTCTTTCATTCAATCTCAGAGACAGGGTGATATATAAACCTATTACAATGTTTCTATCTTGTAATGGCATGAGATAGGTTGATTTTTATGGGCTTCGAGATGATTCGACTGAAAATATCCAGTTCACAAGATTTAATGAAAACTCACACGAGCAAAGTGCTTCAGTCATATGGGTTTGACAAAAGTATATATTTTTTTTAATTTTCTCAAGCAGCATAAGTGAAATATTGGCTGTATGGAGAGATCTGGGACACCCGGTATATCGTGTTATTTCATGAGAGGAGCGGATTCTTTGTGAATAGCAAGATGAGTTTATAAGATAAAACATTAAAATAAAGTGCCTTCCAGGAGATATGGACAAAAAATTGTAAGAACTTTCTATCGAATTGATTTTTGTGAACAAAAAATAATATCTTTTTATTATATAAGATCTATAATGTATCGAATCAGGCACCTGTCTGCCTACTCAAAAAACCTTACTCTGATAGCAAAAAAAATTACAGAACTGTATGGCTATCTTCGTGCTAATCCGCAATTAAACTTTGGCACGCCCTATAGTGAAGACAATTGGCCAGAGCAAGAAACGCAGATGAAAAAGTTGTGCACAATTTTGTTCTCTATTATTTGAACTCTTTCTGAATGGCATCTACTTCTACGGTGCTATTTTTCACCAAGTGCCACGAGTCAGAGTTTTCATCCCTTAACAACTCGAACAGCAACCCTCAGGTGTTGCAAACTCTGGTGGACTACCAGGGAATTAATCGCTATCATCACACAAAATTTCATCTCTTTCCAACCTTTGTTAAAATAATCACATGATTACGCGATGTGGGTCTTGAGAAATATTTAACAAATTATTGCTAAACGTACCTATCTCACTGGGCCTTCAGGGCATGATATAATCTCGAAATAATATTATCGTCCATGTATTCATCACGAACTGCAAACAACGAACAAAACGGTTCATGTACGAAGAATATTGGAGCCTAAAAATGTGTAGGAAGCATACTTGTCCGAAGACAGCTTTCACAAGACCTGCAGGTTATTCAGACTCTGCTTTTGTTGTGATTATTGAAACTAAAACTTTATTATTCAACAAGGAAGTGTGCTGTTATCATCCCCACGCAACAAGAGCATCCGCCATCGCCACCTCTTTTCTGCTGACGTTGTTCCAGAGTTCCTGCTGCTAGCTGCTTCGACAAGCGACAAGGATAACATTCAGGTGAGTGATCTTTGGAGCCAATAAATACACAACACGTTCTTCGGTTGTATTTCATGAAGCTTCAATTTAAGGAAGCGTCAATGAGCTTTTCCAGTCATTTTTGAAAAAGTATCTCGAAATATATGGGACTGGAATACCTTAAAACAGGTTTTTTCAATTTTTTTTTCCATCAATTCATCGTAACAGAAATCATTGAAAACGCCGAATTGAACGAGCGAATTCAAACGATCAGATAAATACAAATATTTCAAACCCTGAGAAAGCTTGACGTATACTTTCGACAGGCACCAATGAAAAATATAGGAATCGAAATAAAATTGGATAAGACCCCTTTTTCCATCCGAAGTTCTACACTGTAGCAGACGTCACCTATGTTCAAATTTCCAAGCGGAAGACACAATCACGAGAAGTGCAATGATTTAAATTATTTCAAAGTGGAGAACTTGATTTCGTTTTTGTTCAATTTTCGGGATAAATCTTCCCGTTAATAAGAAGAACGAAATAAAATCTGATATTTTGAGAATAGGTATAGAGTGTATCATATCAATGTGCTAAATATATGCACTTATTTCAAAAACACCCCGTATATATTAAAAATTACAATGCAATGTTTACCATTCATATTAATGCTTGCATTCTTTGTCGTGATCAGGCTAAGTTTATCTTGATGTAGGCATATAATAGTGCATATTTTCATTTAAGTGTTAATGAATCATTTTTTTTACTCGAATGAAAAATATAGTAACACCCTTTTTTCTACCCCCGTATTCAACGTTTCTTGAGTACGTGTCAATAATTCAGGAGTATCTCGCTGACGTCAAAACATAATATGTCCGCCAGTTATTCGTTTCTGAGGTACAGAGTGACAAATTTTGATTGTTACTTCGGTGTTTCGTGAATGAATGCCAAAATAATCGTGATATACCAAATTTCACTCGAATATCACGTTTGTGTTTTAATTTATTCACAAAGAAACAGGGAAAACAATCAAACCTTGACACTCTGTATCGCCGAAATGAATAACGTGCGGACATAGGATTATAAGAATTTTTCTTTTTATTTTGACGTCGCCAACAAGCTCCTGAAATCTTTACACCCTGTGGAACTGCTTTCGATTTATTGTTCATTTCAACACGGACTTTCATGAATGAAAACACATAAGTACTTTTCATTATGAAACATATTTACGGTCTATTGAATATGGATACTCAAGTGGATCTATGTTTTTACATACTTGCTTGAGTTGGTTCACAAATAATTTTAATGGACATTCAATCACAAATCATAACGAGTCAACAGTACAGGTAACTCATGGCCTGGAGATGTTGGAATATATTGAAATATGAATAGTTCACATTATTCGGGTTTTCATTTTATTATTTATCAGTCGTAGAAAGAAATAGTGCAGGAAACGACCATGTACTGGTTATTACCTAATATACTCGTCTCGATACTTATACCTCGTGGTAGTGTTTGATCATTACAATCATGATCGTTTCATAAAATACTATTTTTTGTCAGCCGTCGTATAGAAGTTTGAGGTATGCAGTGATACAACCAACGATAAGTAATTATTTTAGTTATCATCTACTACAGGTTCCACTTGGCTCCAAAAGAACCAAATGTCTTCAAATTATCATTGGTTCCGTTGACCGTATCTCTTGTTGATAAATATTCTTTTCCCGATATCTTTCATCGAATACATCTACATCTACACAATACACGCTTATATTCCAACAACCATATGGAATGTTTCGAATTCTTGAATGCCAACCCTGTAACTACAGCCTCAGAGGAAGCTATCTTGCTCCTCTTAAGAATACTGATGCACGCACAGTGCTTTTAGTGAAGAAATCGGACCCCGCACGTTTTATTGCTGAAATTATTCTCGGTTGAAACGTCTGAAATTTAGGTACCTATATGATATATGTTTGGAATATCTCATGTACTGAATGAACGTGTGAAATCATAGAATTCGTTAATAGATTTTGACGCTCAAGTTACAAATCAGTGTAGTTATTATTATTTCCGTTGATCTCGTAATAACGAATTTGTTTTATGTTCATGAAATTAATGGTTAATGACCTTTATTAATGCTCAATTTGTCTATTAATGCACGATTGTAGCATAGGCAACCAAACATACAACGCGTCCATTCACTGTTTATGCTATAAATCTGCATTTAAATCGAAAATATGGATATCATCGAAGATTTCACGTTAACGGGTTAGCCCTCTCTCAAGTTTCTGATCCGATTTCAATCCCTGTTTTCTAACACAAGGAATCTATTTTCTGTGATTATGATTGCGACAAATATCAAATAATGTCAGTGACTAGTTGACCAATGCTACAGGGTGATTCTTACTAGTTTCCAGATGAATGATGAATTCGCGAATCAAATTTTCTGCATTGCAGGAGAAATGAGGAATATAGTCGACGGAATAGTAATTTTTCTACTACTGCTATGGAAAGTAGCGCATTTCTCATAGCTAACTTAGTTTCATAACCATTGTATTGCTCATACTGTGAGAAATATTTTTTCTCACGGCACTTACCACATACATTTCCTTGGAGAATCAACAAAAATCGACTAAAACTTGTGGCTGCTGTTCAGCTTTGAATAGTTGTCACAACTGTCAGAAGGAGTTCTTTGAATTCTTTAGGGTAGTTCTCATTAGTGCTTTTGACAGAAATCGCATTTTCCATCAAATATAATTCCAACAATTCATAATAAATAATATGATGTATATACCGAGATGTGACGATTTTGATAAATACACCGCCAGACAGGGATAATGGAAAGAGCTACGAAAGTTGGATTTGTTTCCGGAAATTTCAAGAAAAAAGTATGAATTGGCATAAACGAAAAATTTTTGGAATGTAAAAAAATACAGAAATAAAATATTTTTCGGAAAGTGTACTTTTTTTAAATACTTTGAGGCGTCTACTCTTTATACAGTACTCGGATTCTTTGAATAAGTGCAGTTGTAGAAAAAGTATAGTGTGCAACATGTGGGGAAGAGCACATTCCTTACTCGTGTGTTTGCATCACTCGCCCTTCAGGCTCGTGCCACAAACTTTACCACTAGTGAGAAAAGTTGAACTTTTCCCACTTGTTGCACAATATACTATTTTCTAACAAGTGCGGATAGTGATACCCCGAACGACGCGAAGCGGGGTCGAGTGCGGAAAAGACACTTTCCGCATGATTTCGATTAAGGCATTCAGGAAAGAATCACTTGTATCAGTATTCGTTTATACGAGTCGATGCATAGATTTCGGGAGGATGTAATTCAATGTTTTGCGTGGCATAGCCAGGAAAGTAGTTGTTTTTCTCCCGAAATCTACCATTGTTGTTCATTTCATAAATATTGTGTGGAAATGGCTTAAAGCTTTTTGTATTCATTTAACATTTCATCCCACTTTGAGCATTGTGGCTATTTCGTAGTTGAAATTAGGCCAGTCGGTCAACCAGCCACTCCCGTATGAGAATATTGGTTTTGGAGTGTTTCTTTCCTTCTTTTCTACTCAGATGGCGTTGCTCTCATATTGTCTATGGAAGACGCCTCTGAGGAAATATAATGCCGATTTGATTTTTGTTTGGCTAGGCTACGCTTAATCGGCGGTCTTAGGACTGCTGGCTAGAGACTGCCTTTCACTGATGAGTGTCAAAGAGCTCGAAACCGGTCTGTAGGTGTCTAGTATGGCCTGGCTGAATCGAAATCAATAGGCATACAGGAAAGAATCACTTGTATCAGTATTCGTTTATACGAGTCTATGCATAGATTTCGGGAGAATGTAATTCAATGTTCTGCGTGGCATTATCCAGGAAAGTAGTTGTTTTTCTCCCGAAATCTACTATTGTACATTGTGTGGAAATGACTTCGAGCATTTTATATTCATCTATTTTATTGTATTGTATGTGGGGTTGCTTCATACAATAAATAACAACTAACAATTTCACATGTCATCAATTTCATTTTCATATATGATATCACAACGACTTCATTGTGTTATTATTATTTCACAAAATCTCATCTTCCATGAAATGTCAAATTTCATGCAATGACAGTTCTGTCTAATAGATGAGCAATAGTTAAGAGAAAATCAGACTACAAGCCAAAGAAATCAAACTATCGCTGTTATCTGTTGAAGCAGTAGAAAAAGTATAGTATATAGCTCGCACGGAATGCTAATTTTCAACTCGTATGATTTGCAGCATTCATAAACTTCATTCCCGTGGGGAAATAACAATCATTCTGTTCTCAATAAATTCAAACTTCAATTTATTTTCGACGTAATTTTATCGAAACTAATATTTTTAGCGATTCTGTTAGATAAGGCATTTAAACGAAGAAAATAAATTGGATTCTACAATTACGTTTCGATATCATGTTACTCAGTAAAAATTGAAATTTGATCAGTACGCTGTATTCCTCTTTCCATCAGCTTTTCAAACATGGCTCAGAAATCATACAGTTGCATTTGAAAAAAACATGTCAAGGGTGGTTTCAACTACCTCTGAAGGGCTATATTTTCCATATTGCCTGCGAAATGTAGGAAAATATATCAAAATGTTAGCATGTCGGGAATTTACAGAAAAAAATTCACTTCCCCGCTAGCGAATTTATCTCAGATAAAGACTCCACCCTCTATTGCATAATAACGACCACAGAATGGCAGTCATTTCCCACGAGTATAAACTTTGCAGCATAAGCCGTAAGTGAATGCTGCGAATCATACAAGTGGAAAATTAGCATTCCATGAGAGTTAAATGAGTCAATCCAATATCCAACTTTTGTAGGTACTTATCATACAACTTATGTATTGTGTATTTCAATGGAAGCGTGTATGAGAGATGATTATTTTCATCATTGAAAACAAATTTTTTTTCGTATACTAAATACTTTCAATTTATGGAACGATGAACGATATATAAAATAGCTGTGTGGCGTAGATTCGACTCGTATAATCATGTACAACCCCATTCCCACAAAACT